ATAATAATGATCTGACATTGTTTCAAAAATAAATTATTTATGATTTTTAATCGATAATACCTTAAACTTAAAAAAACATTTCAATTAAATATCTAAAAAGATTTACTTTTATTAGACTTTAATAATATTTCGTCTTTACAAAAGCTACATAACCGAGAAATGCGCCTAGGTACTTTCCATATCAAATTTATGACGAAAAAACAGTTTACCACATACTTTTAAAACGTTTTTATAGTTTTTATATTATTTATACCTTATTATACCACTAGTATGTCATTTATTACACTGCAATTGGCACACCATTAGGTAGTTCAAACTCCAATGAATTTAAGGGAATTCATAGAATTTCAAGAGTTCTATTGTAATGAAATAATATTGGCAATAACCTTTCTGATTAAGAAATGGTCATCACGGTTTAAAATTATACAAAAGGACAAGGTTCGTAGTGTTGTTGTCGCCAATGTTCATAAAAAATTACAATTATTTACTATTACACAACCTGTTTGGCCAACTTACATTTCAAGTTCTTGATCTTGACTTTATACTGGGTCATCATTAAGTATGTGGCCAAAATTCAAGGTGTTATTCGTTACTCAATTTTTAAACAAAAAGTCCATTTAGAAGTAGTTCCTAAACATTTGCTAAATTAGTAAAAGACAAAAATTAGTACCTGTTGGACATTTTTATTTCTTAAAAAGTCTTTTAAGCGAAAAAGTTTTTCTGAATTTAACAGTGGCGTGCGCAAGGGTAACTAATGAGATTTAATACAAAATATAATATGCCACTGTTTTTGTCAATCTGGTAATATTTTAAGGTGATTACAGCACCCCCTTATAATTTTCGGACAAGGATATCTCAAAAAGTAATTTTTTTAAAAAATTAAAATTTTGGCAAAATATATTAGGCAATAATATCTAGAATATGCATATATTTTAAAGTTTTAATTCCTTCCAGTTTCCGAAAAAAAAAATCAAAGGGCTTTAAATTTTGAAATATCATAATGAAAATAAATGCATTTCTCAACAGCAGTATTCTTAATATAATCCCCAAATTTAAGCTCTTAATCTCTTGTTAATGATTTTTTAAAATTCGCCGAAATTAGTGGCTAAAACGCCTTGTTAAGTTCTATTTTCTGGTTTAAACTGGTGTAAACTGATGTAAATCGTTGCAAGAAACGAATGATGACTCAGAGTGTACGATACGATAGTTACAGACGCGTTACACTAGAAAGAAGCACTTAACGAGGCGTTTTAGCCACTAATTTCGGCGAATTTTAAAAAATCATTAACAAGAGATTAAGAGCTTAAATTTGGGGATTATATTAAGAATACTGCTGTTGAGGAATGCATTTATGTTCATTATGATATTTCAAAATTTAAAGCCCTTTGATTTTTTTCCTCGGAAACTAGAAGGAATTAAAACTTTAAAAAATATGCATATTCTAGACATGATTGCCTAACTTATTTTGCCCAAATTTAAATTTTCTAAAAAAATTACTTTTTGAGATATCCTTGTCCGAAAATTAAAAGGGGGTGCTGTAATCACCTTAAGATTAAGCAATAAAAACTGTGCTAAAATCATTCTTCCAATTTTTCGCTCAGATTATCTGCTCTTATCGACAAAAAGGAAAAAAATGTAAAGTTATGTTGTTAGCAACCAGTGGCGTCGAAATGTATTATTCTATGAATAAATTAGTGCCAAATTGTTAAGAAATATAAAATATTTTTAGAAAACTCGACAAATGTGCTTATAAAACAATTTTATCGATTTTTTTAAGATTAATTTTAAGAATTCTAACAACTTGGTACTAATTTTTAATTTATTTATTTATTTACGGGCAAGCCCATTTGAGAAATAAATTACAATTTTAAAATTATAATTAAAATGTAGTGAAATATATATGGTGCTGGAATACAATCGTGGTATAATTCATAAAATAGGTTAAGAATTTTATTTCAATACTTAGTTTCCTTCATATTTCACTACTCCGTCCCATATCTTAATAATTTGGAACTTATTTAATCTCTATACTCTTCTTATTTCTTCATAGAAAAAGACCACTAGGTGTTTTCGGTAAATTAGTTGTTGGAAAGTGGCTGCTAACTTCAGACCGGTCAGCAGAAATATACTCAAATGTTTTGCATATCTTCGCATTCTTCCTTTATGAACGAAATACTGGAAACATGTTTTTCAATTGTTGAATCTTAAAAGTGTACTAAATTGTATTCATTTAATTAAATCTCATTAGTTATACCTTTGTGTATGCCACTGGTAAATCCAGAAAAATTTGTTTCCTTAATGTAATAAAAATTTCCACTGAGTTTCAACTTTTTACTAGTTAATTTTCGTCTTTAAGTTATTTAGGAAAAATATTTTTATTTTGTGTTTATCTAAAAATTTCGTGAGGAATAACACCTTAAAGTATAGCCACATACTTGATACCGTTGTACTACCTGTTCTTAATAGTTGATTATTGGCTATAACACCAATCATTAATTTTTGTATGTGAATTAATGACCCAAGATCATCTAAATGCATACATTTTTCATTTTTATTAATTTTCGTTCCATTTTCTTTATCTAATCGATTCATTACACCACATTAGCCAAAATAATACAAAACTGTAAAATCAACAATATTGGAGGTCGTATAGTTTATCAGTTTAACCGTTTCAAGTTCTGTTTTGCAAAATGAATGGAATAGTGTTAGTGGTCTGCTTCAAATTTAACTCTATTGTTGATTATTTATGTACCTACAAAGAAGTAACTTTTATAAAAGAGTGATTTTTTAAAAAATATTTTTAATTCGAAATAAAACATTGAATTTGGCCGGTAACCGTAGATTTTTTAAACATAAAAGGGCGCATGATTTACTGTCATATTCACTCTTGTTGCACAAACTTTATACCAATATTAAATGTGTTAACAGATCTTAAAATATAAATATTTTATTTTAAATAAATTTTCCTAAAAGTTGTTGCAGCTCAGCTTGGTGTTTATAAATATAGTTGGATCCAGAAATAATCGTATCGTAATTAGGCATTCCAAACTGAATGGCTACCAGTGGGTTTTGACAGGTTATGATATGGCAAAATTATGGCAACCCTGTAGGCCCGGTGATTTGACAAGGTAAATGAAATAGATAACATAATCTTATGCCTTGAAGTAAACAATGTAAGCAGTTAATTATTATTTTCTAAATATCTAAAGGCTGACAATTGGTTTTAAAACACACTTTTGCTAAACCGATTCAAATTAATAAATATTTTCCAGGCAATATGGCCGCTCGCAAACGACCAGCTTTGAGAAATTGACAACATGACAATAGGGTTGCCATATCTAAACTGTCGTTCCCCACTGGTAGCCATTTGAACAGGTAGTTGGAATGCCTAATTAGGCATTCCAACGACCTGTCAAACAATAGGTGCCAGTGGGAAATTCTTGTATATTTAAGGGGGTAGCGACATAGTCTTGCAACTTGGACGCTATTTTTATTCGAAGTAGTACTCGCCAAGCCTGCCAATTTATGTAGAAATGTATAGGTGGGTTTTTTAAATATTACTTTTATTGTGTTTGACATAAAATATTTAAATGTAATCCATTATTCATGATTTTACATAAAGTAGATAGAATACACCATATGTCGCCACCCTTAGATATACCAAACCTGCCCACTGGTAATTCATTTGTTTGGAATGCCTAATTACGTTATGTGTGAAGAATGCTGTCATTTGTCATTGCGTAGAGATTTTCTGAAGTCGTTAAACAAGATACGTGCAGTTGACACACTATGTATATCTCTCCTAAATGTCTTTAAATTAACGTGATTTTCCTGAAGATAGTATAGTTTAATTGGTGAAAAGTGATTACCTGAATAGAACATTAGGACTTCCACCAAATACATTAAAGGACTGAAGGTACAAATGGAAATTTTGGAAAATTTTCAGTTCCCGGCGCTATTATTTATGGGTATTTGTTTCGAAGATATAACTGTTTTTAAATTTGGGAACGCGCGACAGACGACAGCAGAAGCGACGGCGAAGGAGACAGATGCATTTACATTACGCTTTACATATTTGGGCAGCCGAGGCAAGGATACCGGCAACCGTAGACGACCATTTGATAGCAACGATCAGTGTTGCCAAACCTGCTGTTTTAAAGTAGATCCATTATTTTTGTCTCTGTTCTCCTGTTTTAGGCATGTTTTCGCCAACTTAGCAAATTTTGTTCTTAATTTATTAAGTTTGCCTCATTCTTCAGCAAATGGTCAAAGAATATCTTCTCTAGTAAATTTGCTGAAGTAAAAACAATGTAATAAGCAGCCACTATTGTAGGTTTGCTCCATAAAAAAACCTCAAGATAATCATTATGTTTTTATTTAAAATGCAACAGAGAATTACTAGGGCATCATAAAAAGAACATGCATACTAAATAGAACGTAAGAAATACACTGAAAAATCTCGAAAATGGAATGTTTTACAGAGATCAACCAAGATTCCCTTCTTTGTAACAAATTGCGTGAGGAATAATTATTAATCTCAACTTTTATCAAATATAGGATATGTTAAAAATGTTTTTTTAACCCTTGATTCTACGCCAATGGGTTATCGTAATTTATCGAAATAGGGTGTGTTAACTAATAATGATGATTGACTAGGTATATATTTTTAAGTTAAAGTCTTTAATCTAAAGAAATATATTTATAAAATTATGAATGTATTAAATTCACTTTATCATCTTGTAGAATGAAAACTGGGATGTTTGCAGGAAAATTATATTTAACTTCTCTTAATAATTAGTTAAAATCTAAAAATCCCCCAGTCCAATAAAGTAGGCACTAATTCGTGTCTTGTTATTGGGTTTAACATAAAAATATTTCTGCATTTGAGTCATATCATTATGCCTATACCCATTATCATATCGTAGATAGTTACTAAACAAATAAATTAATATTGGTTAGTTTTATGCAATGTTTCTGATCGTACTGATGTTTTATTACAGATTTTCGGCCTAATGGTGTCGCTTCTCCTGAAAAATGTCAATCAGTGGTTATACATGCATACGGATAGTATTTTGTTGGATCAATGTATTATTCTGGGTAAGTAAATTAATAATGATAATAAAATTTAGGTAGGTACTTCGGAATCTCAATCTCCATATTCATATACCTGTTCTGAAAATTGTCCAATCAGTAAATTGTTAAAATTTATTCTACTACTTTGAAATCGTTTTTATAACTTCGTTTCAGTCCGCGAAGCTTGGGACAAATTTTCTATTAAATAACTGTGTTAGAAATCATTATACATTACGATTAACCATGGTTTCTCCAGCTTTGGTATTAACTTTTCACAATCCTTTTTTTTTAAGGATATTGTGGAAGATACATATATAACAAGTTTTAGAATGTACAACTACGTAGCATTTTCGGGATCTTTTTTAAACTCTTTAAATTTTCGTTTATATGACTTTCGAAAATGCCCACGTTTCATCCAGGAATATAAATTTAAATGAGTGTGTATTTTCCATATATTATTTCCGTAAAAAATAATTTTTTTCGGAAAGTATTCGCTTATTATTTTTATTTTTGTATGAAAATCTAGTTTCATAAGACTCCATAAACTTGTATCAGAAGCGTTAAAATATTGGATATGGGATACCTACCCCAGTATATGAAATTCCAATAAACGAAAACAATACTCCAAATAATAACTTATCTTCTATTTAAAATTCAATAATATATTTTTTCTTTGAATTTTTCTTCTTACAAAGTTAATATACTTTCCAATTGGTTTTCTCGTTATCACAACGGCCCAACTTTGCTAAACTATATTTATATTTTCACAATGATAATTAAAGTTTGCTATGCAATTTCACTACCTTGAGATTTTCTCTATCAAGTCTCCCAAATTTCGTATTCAGAAAGTGTATATCAAATTTCCAAAATATCTTAATTTTTACTTTTAAAACCTTTTAAATAGTTGATTTCTTTATTTTTCTATATTTTGAATCTGTATTTCTTCATTGCTTTCTTTTGCTACAATTTCTACTTCTTCATTTACCTCTTCGATTTTCATGTTTATTTCAACTTCTTTTGGTTCTTTATCTGCTTCTTATTTATTTATTACTAAACTTTCTCCTATTTTTTTAATTTACTTACGTTCTTCTTATTTATATATTTCTTCTTTTATATTCTACAGTATTTATTTCTATAATTTTGAATTTATTTCATCTTCCTACTGCTCACTTCTACAAAATTTTATTTAACGCTTTTATATTATTCTTACATAAAAATGCACGTCACATTTCTCTGCATTATTATTTCTCTATTATATATTGTTTCCAAACTTTATCCCATTTTTAGATTGTTTCTATTTTAAATAATATCCAGATTTCAACTTACACTTAAATGCATACGCCCTTTTCTACAATTAAAATCAACAATTTAAATACGATTAAAAAGTCTTACCAAAATTACTTTGTCCAAACTTTTCCGGTCTTTCAGCTCGCCAAAATTTGTTAACTCTCTTTTTAGTTATCAGGCCCACGTTGGGCGCTGGTATTCTTGATTTCATACCTCCCTAATTAAACTTAAATTTTGACAATAACAACTAAAGTTTGATTGGCAATGCTATTGAATTGAAATTCTTCATTTAGTTTTTTGATTGCGACGTGTTGTTTTCTTGCTTTCATATCATAAAATACGTTTCTACTTGCTCCTTTTACAATATCACTTGCACCATTATTCTTTAACACGTTAACTGCCATATAGGTCACCAGTAACCTACGTGTAACTGTTGCTGGTATTCCGCGTGGGTCACCGGTGACCTTACAGTAAATTTTGACACTAACCTAGTTGAAAACTAACACGAAATAATACTTTATGGCAGTGAGGTAACCTAAGATGATTCTTCCAATACATCCATATCATGTTTTTTTCTTATATTGTGTTTAGGTTTAGTTGAAATATTTTTCTGATATTTTATATAAGTAATATAAAGTATGAGATATATTTTTTAAATTCTTACGCTCAAATACCCATTACTTGATAGGTTAGTATATTATAATTATTATGAATAATATTTAATGTTAATTTCTCTTATTAGATATTTACTTAGTGATAAAAAAAAATCAATTGTAATCCAATACTATTACTTCAAAAAGATTGTTATTATTTATTATAAATGTTGCGATCTATTTATTTTTGTGTTGTAAAAACATAATATCTATTATGGTGATTAAATATTTTATATTTCACTGATTTTGATCGAAAAACGCAAAAAAAAATAAATTAAATCTTATTATTTTTTTTTATTGAATCAGTCACTCGTGAAAATAAACAATTGGCAATATAATACCCACCTGTATTTTTACAAACAGGTACGTAGGTGGGTACTTAAATGGCGTTGAAATTAAGTACCGTGACGGTAATTCAATAGGCAATTGCCCAGAGTATCGAATCACCGAGGGGGTTATCCAAAGGAAACTAGGAAAATTATTTTTTTAATTCAATTAAAAAGGAAAATTGATGGATAAAGATGTATTGTTCTTCAGCTGGTAACAATAGTAACAATCCCGACTATCAAGGGGAAATGAATGAACCACATTTTTTAAAATGGTTCGAGAATCAACTACTTATGAATTTAACTGTCTTCAACAACTGTTATGGACAATGCTTCCTATCACAGCATGTTACTTTTTAAAACGCCCAATAATTCCTGGACAAAACCTGAAATTCAAGATTGGCTGACGACACACAAAATTCAGTTTGATTCAGAATATGTACAAACAAGATTTATTGAACACAGTTTTTAGAAATAAACCACCAAATATTTATAAAGTATATTCACTTGCAGAACAATATGGCCACATAGTTATTCGGTTTCCTCCTTATCATTGTACATTTAACCCATTTGAAATGATTTGAGGTATTGCCAAGAATTATTATAACTGGGATATTGGTAGGGATGTATTCAGAAATGTTGAGAACCTGAAGTTATATTTGAAAGGGTGGATATTTTACCTGTACATATTGATTTTAATGATCTAGTGATTCTTATTCTGAATAAAGCTTTACTTATGTTGTTTATTTTTATTCTATTTATTTATGTTGGAAGAACTACTTCCGAAAGATTTTAAAATGGTATATATAGGTTTAATGAATTAATTATTTAAAGTGTCAATAGATGGAGTTCAAATTAAACATTATGGTTTTCTATAAAACGTTTCTTGAGATCCTCGAATTTTGTACCAACGTGGCAACGTCTACTTTCATGAGTTTATGACGTACATTGCAAATTTCATTCCATTTACTATATAATATTCATAAGTGGTATTATTGGAGATAATAGTTCTTTAAAAAATAAAAACATTAAACTTGACGGTTTCTCGAAATCTTCAAATTTCGTAGCAACGTCTACTTTCATGAGTTTATGACGTGCATTGGAAATTTCATTTCATTTACTATATTCATATTTATTGCTTAGCGACATTTTCTGAAGCTATTTTTTTTAATCAATAAAAAGGTAGTATATGCATAACTTAATAAAACTTATTAAGATTTTTTGAAATATTCAAGCATCGACGACATAGTTTTAATTGCAAATGCCAAATGTATTACGTGTTACTTTTACAAACATACGGGTATTACATGGAATAGTTGTTATCAAAGTTCATTGTATTTGAGTTTTGGAAAAAAAAACAATGTGCGTGTGAAGAAAATTTTCGAAATAATACACTAATTAAGTAATTATTTATTTTTTATATCTAATTCATTATTATTACTTACTTTTCTTTAATGAAAGGGATTTTTGAAACAAACGATATATCTACAAAATACAAACGTGCCAAACCAATCAGAATTCATTATGCTCCAGCCGATCGAATAATTCTTCGTTTAGTATCTTATCGTAGGAGAATTTGACATTTGGCGCTTTGGCGGTAATTAGTACCTAAGGGTCGCTGTAGGTAAATAAAATTGCGGTTGTAAAGACCACTTAATAAAAAATACTTCTTATGCAACTTTCTCAGTGATTTGTAATATATACAAAAAACTGGTTTGTATATTTATTCAAAAAAATAACAATATATACTGTTACTTTTCACTAACCAATATAAAAATTAATATTTATTGTTGACAAATGTAAGCAACTTATCTGTATAGGTACTACTGAAACTTTTTCTCGTGTAACGTAGTGTAGTGTAATGTAGTATCACATTATATTTTTTAAGAACTAGTAGCCGAGAATAACGATCAAGGAGAAGTGACAGTAACTGTCAGTGCCTTTGATATCGGATGTACCTTTTTCACAGCATGACTTTGATTGATACACAACTTAGCACGCTGAGAAAACATGCTTATTTTCTACACTGAGCGAAATAGTTTGGCAAATTATCTGAAATCATTGTTATAGTCCATGCGCAAATGTTGTAATGTGATTTAATTACATTGAAGTAGTTAGGGTTAATACCAATGGTGAAATTTCGGTACCAAAATATAATTCATTATGTAATAATTAATTATTTATTATAAAAGTAAAAGACGTTTATTATTTTATAATTTATCTATAAAATTTGTTCAATATTTGGTTTATTTATTGTTAAAAATGTAATAAAAGCCCCATATTTAAATTAAATTACCTTTTCCTTAAGTAAAAATAAGGTAAATAAAATTAAGGGTGCCAAAAAAAATTTAGGTAACAATTAAAAAGACATTAAGTTTGAGATATTTAACTAAATATTTGCAATGTGCTTATATTTTCAAAAATTTTTAGGTTTAAAAAGTACTTATTTTTAGAATTTCTGTGTTTATATTATATTAAAAGGACAAGTTTATCACTCATTTCTGTATAAACAAGTGTTTTCTCGCCAAGTTAAGCCAGATGTCATTTAAGTTTTATGTATTTAGAGTTAAATACCTGCCCTGGCTATCACCCAGACAATACAAATATGTCCATTGGACGTCCATTCGATATACAATTTTGGATGTATAGACGTCCAGTGAAGTATACAAATGGCACACTTTTGACCATTCAGAGGACATTCAATTCTGGAATATATTTGGACGTCGAATACTGAACATTCAAAAAACGTCCAGGATTATATTTCCATTGAGACCACATCCCCACTTTTTTTACAGAACCGCAACTTACCACACACTATTTTATATTATTAATAATTTGTTTATTATTTTCGCAAACCGCTATACACTTTTTTTTTTTATTAAAAATCGCTTGACCTGAGCAGGCATCGAACCCACGACACATCCATTATCGTTTTACCCTTTCAATCGCTAGACGAGCTCGACCAAGGAACCACTTGAAAACTTTTTACTAGGTAATTGAATAAGATTTCAAACTTCCGCTGATAGAATTAAATGCAATAGATTCAATTTTTCAATTTTTAATTACCAGTTATATTAAAAAAAGAAGTATATATTATAGATGAGTATTATCTGGTAGGCTTAATAAATAATGACCTAAGATGGACGTCCACTGGACGTCAAAATACTACTAAACTGAAAATTAAGTCCAAAAACAGACGTTCTCTGGGTATCAATATTCAGCTGTCAATTTAATTAGCATAAACGGACGTACACTGGATGCCCGAATATGGTCATCCTGACCCTCAAATAGATCTAAAGTGGACGTACATTGGACTATGTGTGCTGTCTGGGCATAGACGAATTTTTTGAATTAGTACTTATTTAAGTATGCACCAATATTTCCAAAATCAACTCCAGTATGATTCATTCAATAAATGTAAATATGAATGGGCAAAACATCTTTATATTGACATAATTGTACCTTACAATTTAGCCATAATAAAGGGATTTCGCCCATTTTGACCAATCCTAATTGAAACACGCGGATTTTTTATATTTTTTTAAATATAATTTCAAAATAAAATAAACAAAATCTCCAGTTCATTGTTTATTAAATTTATTTAAAAGAAGAAAACATATATTTCACAAAATACAATACCTACATATGAAAAATAAAATGTCAAAAATGATTAAATCATTATACTTAATATTTATGCATGTGATAAAATTCTTAGTTTCCTAGTAACTTTTTTGGCACATTTTATATCTGTATTAGAACACCTAAGTGTGTAAAAATCTTCATCTTATTACTACACAAAACAAACACCAAAAAATATCACTTAACATTGCTCACGTACTAAACACAACTTGGACTGACTTTGACAGATAACATCATTTTGAGTGATACACAACTTATTTTCGCACATGCGCGTTACAAAACGGTACACTAAAAACACCAAGCTGTCGCTTCTCCTTGATCCTTATTCTCGGCTAGTAGTAACTTACATACAAACACTGAATTGAAATTTATTATTGTTTGATTCCCAACGGTTATTTTATACTCGAAGTTCGTTCATTTTTTTTACATAAAAACTTAAATTAAGTTGCCGCATACTGCACACCAGAACACAATTACTACAATTTTATTATAAACAAATAAACACTTGACTATGCCAATAAACCTCGCGAATTGTATTTAACGTTTTTCTGTCTACGAGTCTCTATTCCAAACAATTAATATTAACTCTATCCGTTCCGTTTGATTCAACCTTCTATGTGCACACGAATGGCCACTCGAATGTTCTAGGGCGGTCCAGCAAGAATCGAGATCTCCAATTTTTCAGTAACTTTGATGTAGTATACTATCCTTCGCCAGTGGTGTCCCAGAGACTATTATTATATTGTATGCGTTATCCTATTGCATAGTTTGTATCTATTTTCGTTTTATAGACAAATTTCTATTTTACACTGGTCTATTTTTCAGATTACAGGATGTGGATTATTAGGAGTAGGACTATGGCTACGGATAGCATACGAAGGATACGCATCCCTTCTACCTCAGTATGCCTTACTTAGCGCCGATTCTCTAGCTATAGCATTCGGAACCATAACCTTTATATTTTCGTTCTTCGCATGCTGTGGTTCATGGTTCCAAAACAGATGCATGCTAATAACTGTAAGTGTAACGTATCTATTATAAAATAAAATAAAAAAACTTTATGTATGAGCGAGTTCGATAAAGTAACTTTGTTGTTCTTGTGATGTGCAACTTTTCGAACTTAAATTGATTAATGTAGTGTATATGTCGTAGGCTCATAGTAAAATCAGTCTTTTCTTGAAAATCCCAGTCATATCACGCAGCGTCGACATATTGTGTAAAATCATAAAGCTACACAATCTACCAAAATGTGTGTAACACAACCTGCCTAAATTAAAATATTGTAGTTTAAGGGAAAGCCAACAAAGGCAAGGCAAATTGTGTTTAAATGATTTTTCTGAGCTTGTTACCGACACATTGGATTATAAAGGACAGAGATACACAAAATGCTGCAACCTGCATCAATACTTCCACAACACCCTAACGTTTTATCCTATAAAATACTTTATATCGCTAAATTTATATATTTTTGTCAAAACTTATTTTTGGTCATTTTAGAGCTAGTCTGACAGTTTTAGGCAAAAAAAATATTTTTTTCCTACATAAACCCTCACCTTGTATGATGTGGAAGTAAAGGAATAAACATAAAATATTGGAATATGTATAAGGAATCTTACGATCATGATCTGGCAACTGGAATGGCCCAGCTATGTGAAATAAATTTAAACCAGTTCTAAAGCTAAATAATTATTATAGGATCCACCCTATATTATCTAGCTTTGGTGTTTACGTATATTGTGCATGAGTCATAACATAACCTCAAACAATTGTTTATACCTTACTAACTGCTGCATGTTGTATGATCTTTTGATCGGACATGATGTATAATATTTGCTATAGTATGCATTAAACAACTTATTTTCATTATTTTGCTCTATAATAACCACAAATAATAAAAAAAATCAGCTTCAATAAAACCAGGTAAATTAAACACCACGTTACACAATTTGACGACTATAAATCACAAAGTGTCGAAATTTAAATTTAGTTAGAATATGTTACATTATACGCCGAAATAATGTGGCTCTTCACGAAAAGCATCGGCAGATTGTGTAGCTTCATGATTTTACACAATATGGCGACGCTTCATGATGTGACTAGGATTTTCAAGAAAAAACGTAACTTTAAGACTATGACATATACATAAGCAGGACAATATATGAAATAAACTTCATTAAGTATTTTTATTTATAGCTGAGATTACTTCATAGTCCACTAAATCATAAAAAACAGCAATATTTTATACTTACTTGAATGAATAAGATATTTCATTATTTTTTTTTTTTTAGTATTTTTGTTTAGTAGTATTCATCTTTCTACTAGAATTCGTATTTGGATCTGTAGCCTTCGTCTTCAGAGAAAGCTTGAAGCACACGTTGAGCGAAGAATTACAAAATGGTCTTCTGCACCATTACAATATGACGTCACAAGGGCCGAACAGTTTGGTTCATATTTGGGATAATATCCAAACAAAGGTATATAAAATTATTTTTGTTTTGATGCGTGTCTTAATATAAAAATACGTAATCATCCACTACTGAATATTGGCGTTCCTCATTTTAGTCTAATTGTCTTTATCTTGGGCGCTCTATGAATCCAGTTTATTGTTACAATTCTATTAAATTTAATCTGCTGTATTTATGGAAAAAGATGTTATTACGACAAAAAACTGATTTAGAAAGAATCATTTTGTCAATGGTCGTTTTCTTTTTAAGTTTGGATGTTGTGGCGTCAAAAGTTACGAAGACTGGTATATGATAGACGCCTGGCCAGACGAGAAATGGGTACCAGATTCCTGCTGTCTACCTGCCAATTTCGACGCGAACTGCGGAAAAATCAGGGATGGAGCTATTTATACGCAAGGTTGTTACGCCCAAATTAATAACTTTTTTATTAGAAGACTGGACATTATTGGGTTTGTGGGAATTTTGATCGCCTTTTTTCAAGTAAGTATCTTTTTACTTTGTAATTTGCTGATTTAAGTCATTATTCATTCTAGTACTAAACGTTTATATAAATGATCTTATTTGAATAAACGTTGTTTAACAATAATACGGATAGTTATTACAGATAACAATATATGTTTTATGTATATTAGCCAAATATCTAAAAAATGTAAATAAAAACAATCTGATATCCTTTACTTTCAATAAAAATCTGGCAACGTTGTATGAACTTTCTTAACGGTCTAAACTAGTTTGCGCCGTTTTCCGTTCATTTTCTTCTTTTCGTTACTAAGTATGGAGTCTATATACCTTCTTTTGGGTTGTCAAAATAAGGGGAATATTCGTCGGGTATCACACAAATTCAACTTAAATTTTTCTTGGCTATTGCTGACAGGAGGAACCGCGACAGCTTAATAAAAAGCAAGTACGCCTTAAATAGCACTCTGCGTGTCGGTGTAGGTGGATGAGATCGGTCGGCGTCATAGAATTGTCAACGCCTTCTGCTTTATCTCTCTTATTCTCGCTTCATGTGAATATTCTTCTTTCTGTTGCTCCTTATAGCTTTGCATTATACCCAAGAAAAATGTAAGCCTAATATGTAGTTGGGTTGTTGTAAGCAAAGCGTTTGTTCATGAAGTGATTTTTCCTACGACCACAAAATAATGTCATCAAAAAATGTAAAACCAGGTTATTATTACTATAATAATTAAAATGTATTTAAAAAAATAATCAACAACAATCGTATTTATTCAATTTTGATATTTTCTAAACAAAAAAAAACTAAAAAAAAAATAATAAAAAAACAAAAAAAAATTCTAGCCCCGCCAGGATTTGAACGCGGTCGCTCGCCAGGTCTCAAATGGCGAAGTTGATAAGGTCGACGTTCTAACCATCTGAGCTAATAGCCCTTACGTCAATTGAATGATTTAATCGGTTATGTATTTAACCAGAATAAAGAGCAAACATATTTAAGTTATTTTAAAATTATTTTAATAATAAATATTGTTAAAGATAAATATCTAGGATCTAATTTACAACAATTTCAATAATTTAACAATCATATCGATTTTAGTATTAATATGGACATTACATAGATCAAAATAGAAATGATGTGTTTGATATTTTGCGACAACTGCTGCAGAAAGTAGCATATTCGTACAACGGGTGGAAAGTAAATTCTTATTCATACACGTTTGATATAGGGCACTTTCCATAGGAATATATAGTGTGATATGTGTCACTTTCCTAAGTGGTCGTAGGAAATCAATATTTCTTGAAAGATCTTAACAATTCTTGATTACGGTATAGTGTATCTAACTATAATTAATCTATAGTATGGTGATTAATTTTCTAACTACGTTTTATTAAGACGTTTCTGACACAAACAATAATCAAAATCCTACTAATATATAAATGCGAAAGTTTGGATGTATGGACGGATGGATATTTGTTGCCCAATCACGTCAGAACGGCTGAACGGATCTGGATGAAATTTGGCACAAATATAGGTTATAGTTTGGAATAGCACGTAACCTACCCTTTATCACAGAAAATATACGGTTCCCATGGGATAGATTTGCTTTTGTTTCTCACAAATCAAGTGGCCAGACATGATTTTTTGCTTAGTGGTAGTGAAACATGAAAATTTGAAATACAGCTACTGAGCATAAATAATGACTTGTTTCTGGGTTTTTGGATTATTTTAACATTTTAAAGGGGAGAAATGGGGGTTGAAAGTCTCTATGGAAGTATCGATTTTTTAAAGAATTAGAATTATAGTTTCTCATCCCTCATTACAAATAAATAATGACATGTTTCAGGGTTTTTGAATTTTCATATTTTAAGAGATATAGTTATAAATAAATTTATTGACGGTATATTTCAAAATGATCAAAATTTTTCCACATAAATTATTAATCCCGTAAGTATACGGGTTGATATTAAATTATTTTCTATCAGTTTTATCAATATCAGTTACCATTACTAATAAAAAATATAATCTGCCACCCTTTTAGATATATTTTATAGACATGTGTTATTGTGTTATCTAATCATTAGACCAGTGGCAGTTCTACTGTAAATGAATATTTTTTCCATTATGTATACATTTTTATTTGATGGTACGAAACTTCAGAGGGTGATTCCTTAACCCAGACAGCACACCAAATCCTTTGGATATCTACTGAACATCCCAATATCCACTGAATGTCCAGTCCATGGTGGATATCTATTTTATATCCATGATATGTAATTTATAGACATGCAAATGTCCATAAATAATGTGTAATGTGAGCCATTTCGTTATTCAGTCATGCTCTAATTCTCCAAGTCCCTCTCTGTCTTATTTGGCCTTTGAGGCTCAACTTGTCCGATTATTATACATAATTAAACCCCTTAAGACATTCGCGAACATTCTTGAGTCATCGTGATAAAGTTTCTGGTACATTCTGGATATTTTGGTGGAGGAGCATTCTAGACCACCAATTTATATATAAATATTAGTGGAGGACCAACAAAAGTTAGTTATTATATGGACAGTGAAGATAAATCGTGAACAGTTTAGAGACATTCGAAATATATATAAATTAGAATAGTATTGTTATAAATAAATAAGTGTTTAAATAAATTATTAATTAATAAACTGTTGTTTAAAATAAATAAACATAACAATTGTAATTATATGTACAGTGTGTCTACTTAAGTTGGAACCATATAGAAAACATTTTTATTATTGATTTTAGGAAAAAAAGTTATTCTTGATAAAAAGTCCTGCATGACCCAAAACCTAAAATACAGTCATCACATATCAAATTTTTCAAGCCGTATACGAGGTTTGTCAAAAAATATGAATTTTGCTCAAGAGTAAAGTACGTTTATTTTTGACAAAATCGAAAATTTTCATTAAGAAAAGTTGATTAGAATTGAATATTACATTCAAATATGCAATTACACCGATCTATCTGAAAAAAACAGATTTTCTTATTTTTTATAAACTCTACACTCTACACATTGATTGTAAACATCTGAAAACGTTATAAATTACGTTAGCTACTATAAACATGATACGCTTTCCTTTTGTTGATGTTTGTGAAGAATTTCGCAAATTTCTTAATGAAAATTTTCGATTTTGTAAAAAAATAAACGTACTTTACTCTTGAGCAAAATTCATATTTTTTGACAAACCTCGTATACGGCTTGAAAAATTTGATATCTGATGACTGTATTTTAAGTTTTGGGTCATGCAGGACTTTTTATCAAGAATAACTTTTTTTCCTAAAATCAATAATAAAAATGTTTTCCATATGGTTCCAACTTAAGTAGACACACTGTATAGCAAATTATTAAAAAATTACGCCATTGTGCTCGCCATTGTGGCTAATAGTACCGTTCAGATATTTAAAATTAATTTTTTTACGGTGTATTTAATATCCCATGGACATCCACTAAATAATCAAAGTCTAGGCGCAAACGCAAACCATCGTGGATATCCACTAGATGTAATTTTTGATTTTGCTTACTAAGTATAGGTGGCGATACCACTTTCGCATCTACTCATGCTTAACCCGCCGTAATTGAGTTCGTTTGAAATTTGTTTCCTAATCAGACTCCATTAGAGACTGGAGTCGAGAATTTCCATTTATTGCTGAAGAGTCCTAATAAGGATGATTTTCTCCTTAATGGGCAAAATCAAAGGCAGAGTGTTGAAAATATTTTTTCTCTGCTATTTTCTTTCGACGTTATTCAATAAACATTGGTTACTTTTATGAACCTCTACTAAAAATACCCATAAAATATTTTGCTGAATATCCGAATTCTTCTATATCCTGAGATATAGACGGACATTTGGTTGGATATCCATATTGGATATTTACAAAATATATTCTGTGGATATCTCTGGGATTTCTCGTATTGTCTGGAAGGTACACATTAGATATTTTGCTGGATAATCCATAGGATATCTTCTATATTCTGGATATAGACGGACATTTGGATATCCTTATTAGATCCACGGAATATTTCTGATATCCTGTGGATATATTGGATATCCACAAAAGATATTCTGTGGATATCTCTGGGATTTGGTGTGTTGTCTGGGAAATCATTTAATGAAAAAAAGTTTCTATGAACATATGTTCGGAGTTGCTTCGTTTCTGAGATACAGGGTGCTAAAGGTATTTTATAAATATAATAAATATCCTTAAACCAATTTGTTTAAATTTGGTACAGTTATTTGAAGTAAAAATGCGATTATTTAGCCCTAACTAGATTGGAATTATTTAATCGTGGCGTCTCAGTGGGCATCACAGCCGATATTATTGAGAAAAAAGTACGCCACTGTCTTTTTTGTATATCTTTTTTTAGATAAAGCAACTAAAATACAACTTTTTGGTATCTTCTGTTTTCTTCATGTCTAGCTTCGTTTTCGAAAAAAAAATCAACTTTATCTCATTCTAAAAACTATTAATGGACAATATAAAATAAAAACCAAATATAAAAAATAAACAATTTCGATCTCCTGTTAAAATGAACTACATTCTCCATAGGTCAGAATTTTAAAAAAATGCCCCTCAATGTATGCAATCTCGCCTTCCATGGAGTCTTAAAATATTCAACAATAAATTGAACCTTATGAATTGTACACGAAATAAAGAAAGAGAAAATATTAGTTCCACATTTTATTAAATAGTGAACTTACACATAATATTTAAGGGTTACTGTGTACTAAGTCATATTATAAATAAATGTAAAATTCACTGAGACTAAATCATTGTTCTTATTTAATCTTGCGAATTCAAAATAATTGAGTTTGAAATATTCACAATTATTTTTAAGCCGTAGAGGTATAGAAATCATATAGAATTCATAAAAACACCTGACGAATTAATTATGTAGGACTCCATGTCACACTAATGGAGTCTATTTAGTTGAATCATATATTTATTGTCTTCCCAAATATAGGAAATATTACAGGCAAATATGTCAAAAACCTTGAAAATATAAATGCACTATTTTACTTTATTTTCACTAAATTGTATATTTTTTGTGTTTCAGCTGTACGGTCTAATATCGTCGATGATACTCTTCTGTACCGTCAAACATAAAAGGGCATCAAGGACTTACAAATCCTATTCATAACACAAAGTGAAAAATGTTGGTAACATGTGACGTTAACCCACAGTTCGTATACAACACGGTGGCCTCTTCCGTCAGTTGCTGAGGAAGGGTGTGACGTCACGGAATGAAAAATTGAGCGGACCGAAAATATTCTGCCACGGTTCGTACATTAGTGTGTTTTATGTAACAATAACTAGGCTGTTATATTATAAATGTTTATATTTTTTTTGTAACATGTAGTACAAACAAGATTGTAGTTAAGACTACAAGACAAGCGTACCTCCTTCTTGCTAAAAACTTCCAGTACCAAACCCGTTTTTCAATAATGTAGGTTCTTTTAGTAAAGCCCTGTCATTTCTAGCTGTTCCTTGTGTTTAATGTTTGTAAGAACACATCTTGTCATCTTTTAAATGTAAGGTGGACAAGGCTGCACTTAATTTAATAATAGTGAATGATATTTTCAGAATAATGCTTTAAAATCTTACCATTTGCCTTTAGTGTCAGTTTAGGTTCAGTCTTTTTATTTCTTCTAACGATTTTTGTGTGTATAAAAATTGTTTAGTTACAACAACACCTACAGCTCGCTCCAGGCTTGCCAAAATTTTAAAATGTATTCAGGATATAAACAAAGTGTGATCTGAATTCAGCTCGGAGGCCGTACCCTAACTCAAAATGTATCAAATAAACCATTCAAACAATAACATTTCTCTTTATAATTCAAATAAAAAGTAATTAATTTGAAATTTGACGGAAATTATTACATAATTTTTTCTTGCTATTTTGTAGCTTGTCTTTCAAAAAATCAAACTACCGATATTATAAACACTTTAACACCAGAATAAAGTTCAAAAATAAAAATATAAATAACAATAAAATATTAGATTTTATAAATAAACTAATGTACGACCTACAACAGAATATTTTCTGTCAACTCACTTCTTCACTCCATGACGTCACTGCATCCTTAGTAACCATGATGGGGCCACCGTGTTTTCTACAAACCGTGACGGTAACCCGCAGTGATCGACAATTTGTAAATAGTTTTTTTATGAGTTAAAAGTACAAAAGTGCCTGTATACTTCATTGGAAGAGTTTTATATAAATGTACTTAATTATTTTTTAAGTCTTTGTATTTTGCATTGGTAAATTGATTAAATTTAACAGCAATTGTAATTACTATATAAAAAAAGTGATCATTCAGCCATACCTATATATGTATATGCCTATAAAGTACGTTTTTATACTACCGTGTGTAAAGTATGTACTTTACGCCCTCTACGGAGTGCGTCAAGTTGTACTTTTTTTTAAATTATTTTTGTAGAAATGAAAAATAAAAAACATAAAAAATTGGCAAATTGACGATTAAAATACAGATTATATACCAATAATATCATTAACAAAAAAGTCACTATGTAATGGGCGTATAAAAAACCTAAGAAATTTTTAAGACGTTTTAACTCGAATTTATTAGAATAATATAATAAAAAAATAAACTACAACTAAGCATATACCTGTCTCACGCTACGACACTGATTTATTTAATTAAATTAATACCTAAATGGTTGTTAGGCTTCCCAGTATTGACGAGTTTACCTAACTTGGCTAGATATAATATTTGTACGAGGAGTATATATTATGGAATAATCTCACTTTTTAAATTTCCGCGTTGATGAAGCATAAACAATAAAATGATCCCGGTAGGTTGAGCTCTGAAAATTATAATAGAATTACATTGTTGCCGGTTGACCACAGTGCAATTCGCAAGATAAGTCACCATCATTTAAAAATTGTTCGAATATAGTAATAATTTTGTTTTGGTTGTAAGTTTAACCAAATTCTATTTTTATAAGTCAACCTGTTCTTCGACTTTGATATAAATTTTCAATAATAATGTATATTAATGATTTTAAAACCAAGAAAGGTTTAATTTTATTTGTTTTCTTTTTGCAACTGAGCGACCTAATGAATATTTCGAAACCAGTTTCATAATGATCAACATGATGCAACTGGTTGCGTAAAGTAGATTATTTTGACACCTGCTGAGATTACAAAAATTGTCACTTTATATGTCAAAATTGGAAAAATATATGTATTATAACCTCATATATTTTCTTTTTTTAATTTTATTTTGCCAATTTAATCAAATATTGGATGGAGAAAAAATTTGGAACAGTTTGTATAGTGTTAAATTTAGAAAAAAAAAACATTTTATTTTCTCAAGTGTTCTTATATTCATAGAAATTTTAATTAATAAAAATTGTGAAATATTTATTCCTGGTATATGTATTTTTTTATAGAAGGTGTTTTTGGTTTAAACTTTATGATATGATAATTTATTTTTGGAAATCTATACTTATTGTGTAAGTAATATATTTGTTAGTTCGAAATAAAATAAATAAATGTTCGTTATACAAAAATATTGTCTTAATTTAAATCTTCAGTATTTAAGAGTGCTTTACAAAAAAATGTTTTTAAAGTAGGCCAAGACCAACAATGGAGACACGAGGACAAGCCCGTAATAACTATGCACGCCTCCGAATTAAATTCAAACTCTCACCTAAATAGAAGATCTGTATACGCTCCAAAACACGCGTGAATTTTTCAAAGGCCTACTTCAAAAATGTTTCATATTTACTTACTCAATATAAGTACCACAAAAATGAAAATATGGGAAGCCAATAATTTTTAAAACAATATCTAAAATCCATTTAAGGTTACAAACGGGACATTTTTGTTAATAGCTTTATTTTAGAACAAAGAAACGATACACGAAAATTGGTGTTAGATTCATTTAAAAATAAATTAAAATATTACTCTAAAAATGAAATTTGCTTATGTGAAAATTGCTGTATGCATATTAATGAACCGTTTCTGCATATTACAGAAAATGCACCACGTCTGCAACTTTGCAGATCTGCAAATATGGCCGACTTACAGGTACTAGATACAAGTCAAGCTAGAGGATATAGTCAGTTTTGGTGAGAATAAATGCCAATATTTTTAAATAGTTTCATTTAAATGATATAAAAATATTTTCATTCAAACAATTTTAAATATAAAATTAATAACTTTAAATACATCAAATTACGACTCTAATACGCTAGTTCGGTGTGATGTCATTTTGGTTTCACTGACATTTAATTCTAACCAAACTTTTAACAAAAACCTCAATGCGCTGGTTCAGTGTGATGTTATTTTGGTTCCACTGACATTTAATTCTAACCAAACTTTTAACAAAAACATCAATAAATTTGACATATACGTTTTTACTGTTTTTATTTTATTTAAAAAAATATTGTTTACAGGTCATAAAAAATAGTTTAAAGGTATGTAATTGGTAACTAAACGATTGTATATTTGATGCACGTTATCTACTTACTTTAGGAATATATTTATAAAAGTGAAGTCATTTTATCGGTGGAACCATAATTACATCATCACTGAACTAGCGTATTCGCCATTTTGATTACACTTTTATGCCGCTCGAAGTGCGTCCATCTCCAGTGGCGTATTAAGGTCTTCGGGGGGCCCCCGCAATTTTTTTCAAGCCCTCCCCCCTCTCTACATCAAATAAATTAATATTCTGCCTATATTGGGTGACAACGAAACTACTGTCTACGGTGATATTTCAAATCGGTTTAAAATTTGGTGTGACCTCACTTATTTTTGTCATTTTGGATTCTACGTTCGATTATATTGTTGTGTTATCGAATTTTGCCATAAAATAGGTACTCATATCGAAAAATAGTATTTGTATTCTATCTCGATGGTGACAACTGATACTGATACACCAAGACAGAATGTAAATCAAGATGAATTATTAGATTATTCGTCATTCAAAGCAAGATTCCAGTTGTCCAACAGGACAGTAGAATTAATAAAAGTGCTATTTAAAAATTATTTTAAAGCTAATTGTCAGATGTGAGATATCTCCTATTTATGTAGCATGTAGTTCATCTTAATAAATGTTACATTCATATAAATAAAAATCTGATGTGTCCAACACATGACTTTCCTATCTAGTTATTATAGGCATTTTCCGGTTATTTTGTACAACCTATTGCAGCATCTCTATAAATGTTTAGAGGATAAACTAAATATATACATTTTACACATACATCTACCTCGAAACATTTTTCTATAGATATTCATTGAAAACGAAAATACAGAAAAATTTAAATTTAGCACTTTTCCATTACGGTCCATTTTAGAAAAATCATGTATAAACAAAAATTATAGAAATCGATATCGCAAACAACTTTTAGTTCAACAATTTTCATAAAAATCAGAATTTTGCACATTTTGTCAAATTTCTCGAATACGGACCATTTCAGGAAATTTTGACATAAAGCAAAAATTATAGATAATAATATTAGAAGTAACTTTTATTTGAACAATTTTCTTCTCCAAACATTAATAACAGATATATTCCATAAAATATAAAAACGGCCTCCCATAAAGTACCCCCCAGATGTTCCGACTTTGTCCAAAATCTAATCATTTCACGTCAGGCCGAAATAAACCTTAAGTTTAAAATTTAATGTTTTTTCCTTTATCCGTTTTTGAGTTTTCTTCAAATTTCGAAATTTACACATTTTCTTAAATATCTCGAATACGGTCCATTTTAGAGAAATTATGTATAGGACAACAATTATAGAGAATTATATTACAAACAACTTTTATTTGAACAATTTTTATAAAAAATTATGTTTTTTACATTTTGTCAAATTTCTCGAATACGGACCGTTTTAGGAAAATTTTGCATAAAACAAAAATTATAGATAATTATATTAGAAGTAACTTTTATTTGAAGAATTTTCTTCTCCAAACGTAAATAACAGATATATTCCATAAAATATAAAAATGACCACCCATAAAGTACCCCCCCAGATGTTCCGACACTGCCCAAAATCTAATCAGCTCATTGGACGCTGAAACAAAGCTTAAGTTTAAAATTTGGTGTTTTTCTGTGTATCGGTTCATGAGTTATGCGTTATACAGACACACACACAGACACACACACACACACACACACACACACACACACACACACACACACACACACACACAGACACAGACACAGACACACACGCACACACACACACACACACACACACACACCACACACATACACCACACACACACACACACACACACACGCACGCACGCACGCACACACACACACCACACGCACGCACGCACGCACGCACGCACGCACGCGCGCACACACACACACACCACACACATACACCACACACACACACACACGCACGCACGCACGCACACACACACACACACCACACACATACACCACACACGCACGCACGCGCGCGCGCGCGCCCACACACACACACACACACACACACGCACGCACACACACACACACCACACACATACACCACACACATACACCACACACATACACCACACACGCACGCACGCACGCACGCACGCACGCACGCACGCACGCACGCACGCACGCACGCACGCACGCACGCACGCACGCGCGCGCGCGCGCCCACACACACACACACACACACACACACACACACACGCACGCACGCACGCACGCACGCACGCACGCACGCACGCACGCACGCACGCACGCACGCACGCACGCACGCACGCACGCACGCACGCACGCACGCACGCACGCACGCACGCACGCACGCACGCACGCACGCACGCACGCACGCACGCACGCACGCACGCACGCACGCACGCACGCACGCACGCACGCACGCACGCACGCACGCACGCACGCACGCACGCACGCACGCACGCACGCACGCACGCACGCACGCACGCACGCACGCACGCACGCACGCACGCACGCACGCACGCACGCACGCACGCACGCACGCACACACACACACACACACACACACACACACACACACACACACACACACACACACACACACACACACACACACACACACACACACACACACACGACATCATCGCGAAAATAGTCAAAACGGATTCAGGGGACCTCAAAACGTAAAAATCCGTCGAAAACTCGAGGTCGAAAAAAATCATGATTCCTATACTTTCCTTATATCTGTATACAGATAGGAAAGTAAAAATAGTGTGATAAAAAATATGCTTGAATCTTTATTTGTTACATAAACTAACATAACAAACATTTCTAATTTTTTAAAACATGAAGATTGGTTCATTGTTTTTTTTAATATAGTTTTATTAATTTTAATATACATGAAGGTTTTTTAAACTTATTTTCCTGTACTAGTTGATTCTACTGTCTTTTTTAATACCTACTTCATGTAGTTAATATTTTTCTATTTGTAATTATGTCACTTTCAATAGGCTCCAGGTTTTGCTACAAAAAGACATTACATTAAACAAAAAATGTATTCGAGACCCAAAATATTAATATTAAAAGTCATTAAATTTGAGAATGTTCCTACAACAAAAGTTTGTTTATATTTTTAAATTATTAAACAAAACAATAAACCTATTCTCTTGTTATCATTTGATGATGAAATTCGCTTTTCATTGTCACTCAAAAATGTATATCTTATAATTTATGTTTGGGATGCATGATCCATCCTAATTAAAAGAATGTATCAATTAACTATCTTTGGGAACATTCTTATATAGAAGGGTTTGGAAAGGTAAAAAGGAAAGGTACTTAAAGATATTTTTCGTGGATTCGAATTCTGTAGCGAAACGATATTTTTCCGAAAACCTGCGCGTATCCTACTGACTGCGTCAATTAAATATAATAATTCAAAAAAATCGATTTTTAAAAAACAAATTTACTACTTTTTATGACAACTTTATTCAACAACGTTAGAACAGATAATTAAATAATATTTTAAAAGAAAACATGAGTCTTGGCCGTCTTCTTCTAGTAAGCAGTTTTATTGTCAGCTGGGTAATTTCCTCGTAAGATATGATATGAACGCACTATATAATTTACTCTAAGAAACAATTTAATAATTTCATTTAAAACAATAAAACAACCGATTTTAAATCCCAAATGAAAATTTTATTAGCACAGCTAATTTGCCAAATAACTAGTTTAATACAACTAACTGTATCGAACAACTCAAAAGACATACCACCGTTGAATAACGAATGCTTCTCTAAAGTTTGGCAGTGGCGTACGGCATGGATCAGTAAAACCAGCCCCTCTAAATTTTACGCCACTTTCCAAAAACTTATTTGGACTATACTTTTAAATTTTTTAATGTTTTTTAAATAATTAATATATTCTTGTTTGGAACTCAAGAAGTGATTGGTTTTTAAAGATATTCACAATCAAAGGTGGATATTCACCATTTGAAGTTTTAATTTTGGATTTTTTTTATAAAATTATACCGAACAAACGTTTTTAGTATTATAAGATATACCTATCAGCAAAAATACCAGTTAATTAAACTTGGCCAGTGGTGTACGACATGGGTAAATAACACCTTCACCCCTTTTAAATTATTTGTACTATATTTTTTAATTTTTTGATGTTTTTTTAGATAAATCATGCACTTGTGTCTGGAATTAAAAAAAAAAATTATTACAAAATTACAAAAGTATAAAATTATGTACAAATAAATTAAAATTAAGAGTATCAACCTTTGAATGTGATTATCTCAAAAACGAATCAACAAGAGTATATGAATTATTTAAAAACCATCAAAAAATGTAAAGATATAGGACAGTGGAGTAAAATTTAGAGAGGGGAGTGTTACTTATTCATGACATACGCCACTAGCGAAGTTTATTTAATTTAGTAGTTTGTTGATAGGTGTATTTTATGACACCAAAAATATTTATCGAATTAAGTAAAATTATACTGAGAAATAAAAAAAATATATAAATAAAAAGTTCACTGGTCAATTTAAGCACAAGCACTACATATGTTTCGGAAACACTGTTCCATCTTCTGGTGTCAATCAATATTTAATAAAATTTTAAAATGTTTGTAATCGTCCCCATATTTTCTTAAATATTGACTGGCACCAGATGATGGAACAGTGTTCTAGAACATATGTAGAGCATGCTTACATTTTATAAAAAAATAAATAAAAATTATTGACCGAATAAAAACCAGTGAACTTTTTATTTATACAAAATTCTACTACTGTCAGGTAATTATCCTTATTCAAAAAAAAAAAAAAATTACATCTATTATTAATTTTTAAATTTTCACCTTTAACACCCTGTATTTCGGAAACCAGTAATATTTTATCTAAGTATGTTTCGTTTAACCATTTTATTTATAATCGGAAAATCTTCAGTTATTCTGTGTCCCATTCTTAATGAGATCCTGTATATTAGAGGTCGTCTATACTGAGTATATCCCTAAGCAACAAATATTTAAATTTATTATTTTAACTTATTTGTCAAATTTAATTTAATTTTATTCATTAAAAATACAATTCCTATATTTGAAAGATGTAGGTGTATCCATCCATTGATATTGTCATTTTTTTGGTTTATCATTAAATAAAATCAAATTTTTATATAATTTTTAGTATTCGTAATATTCAAACTACGGCTGATATTTTCTGTATAATAGTTTTCACAAGTGAAAACAATTTTAGTATACATAATTTTACATCGATTCCATTTGTTCTGTTAATTCTAATACTGGGCTTTCGCGTAGTGGCAGTAATGGTGGCCAAACAGCTGAATGATTTGAAGTAAATTGGGATCCCTGTAACAAATAAAGATCAGTTACTTAATTTATTTAAATAAAAAAATAAATAAATATTTAAAAGTCTATAAATAGTTATTTATGTATCAAGGGTGGTAAGTGTAATTTACAGGTCGAGAATTTCTTTTACAAACCCAGGGCCGCCGAAAGCCATAGTGGGGCCCTGGGGCACATATCGTAATCTATTTTTTTTAAGCGGCCAGTACCCTGGGGCCAGGGTCCCGGGAATTTGGCTCCTCACCTGTACAGACCGAAGCACATACGGAAGAGGTTAGCAAGTGTTCAAGATCTAGAAATCAACCTGCAAGCCAAGGTGCATACGACGTTTCTCATACTACTAATTAATAACATTACAACTTTTAAAAAAAATAATTTATAATTAAAAATGTGTATTTTATAATAATTTAATGGTGTATGTTTATATTAAACCATTTTCACTTCTGGGGTTACTATTAATTAGTTAAATATACTAAATAGGCTCATCTTTTAGTTCTAAAGATAATTTTTACTGACTCAAGTAACTGCATGTGTATCACTGTATCAAAAATATTTCACTAATAATTTAGTTTTCTTTAAACAAACACCCTTAAAATCTCAAAAACAAAGTTTGCTTAAGTTCTTTTATTCATTGAAAAACCTTTAAATTAAACGAAAATGAAAAACTTCAAAATAAGTGCTACAACAAACATATTTTGTTACGCGGGTTTTTGGTATTTCAATTTATTTCAACTTAACTTTTACAATAACTATACAACTGATAACATTAACGTATAACGTCTATCATAAAACTGACCACAGGGGCAGTGTTGCCAACCTTAAAGTAAGATTTTTCTCTCTACTTACCTTAAAAATTCCCACTTTTTCCTCCCGTTTAGGGTTGTCACCTTTTTATTCCTCAAACCTTTGTTTTAAAAAAAATCCTCAGCTTATAATTTTATAAACCAGGTACTTCATCGAGCTTCAAAAAAAAGGTCCCTGAAACTCGTACAGGTGACATTTATTTTTAAAATCATACATTTTTCACAATTTGGACTTGAGTAAAAAAATTCCCGTTTTGAGTTAACTTTTTCCCTTTTGTGTTAAAATTCCCGCAAGACGGGAAATTTTCCTACGGTTAGCAACACTGCACGGGGGGGGGGTCAGATTCCATGTAAATTGTTTGTTAACAAGTTTGCTTGACCTCGACCAGTGTTGCCAGTTTAGTACAATTGTACTAGATCTAGTACATTATTTAAGAATATGGTACTCGAAGCAAAATCTAGTGCTTTTACTTTTTTCAGTCCGTTTCCATTTGACGGGTAAAATAATATATGGTTGGATTCTTCCTTCTTTGTGTTTGTTTTCGATAATAGTATATTATTAAACGAGCAATTTATGGTAGCCATTATTCACGCAAGGTGACGTTTGCGTCCCGAACCGTAGGCGAGAGGCGCAAGTCACCCGAGTGCATAATGGCCATAAATTGCGAGTCTAATACTATACTTTGTCCACGACCATTATGGTTTCTTTATTAAATAAAAGTTAAGTGTAGAATAGAAAGTTTTTATTAAACATAGGTAACTAACTGTTGTTTTTTCCAGTTTTTAATTTTTCTATTTTCGATTTTTCGATCTAGAAAATATCGTTATGAAAAGTATCGCCTATCTTTAGTTATCTACCGGAATGTGCCAGAATTACAAAAGCGTGAATTATCATAATTAACTCCGTGATATATGGGTACTATATGCTTTTAGTTAGGAGGTAGAATATTGATTTATTATTAAGTGGTCGTGGACAAAAGCTTTTTTTTGCTCTTCTAAACCAAACAATTACAATTCGAAAAATATGGTACAATTTATAGAATCTGGTACATTTCTCAGACAAATCTGATACATAACAAAAATATATTCTGATAACACTGGTCTCTACCACATTAAAAATGGTTCTATTTTTTTTTAAATCGCCTACTTTTTGTGACACTAGAGTGTTATGGACCACACCCTCTTTTAATTTAAGTGAAAACAATTTAATAATAAATCATTAATAATACTCACCTAATGTATCATTAGTCCAATTAGAAACAGCGGCACCATTGGCCAAACACATCACATACTAAATACATTGTTAAAAATTTTATTAACAATATATAAACCGAACTATACAACAAAAACTGATATTATCGCACGTGTACTTCCGATATATTTTTCGTTTGAAGGTACGAGAGGTATTGATTCATTTTTAATACACTTTAAAATATAAAAAGCATTTACATAATATTTATGATTCACCAACGGTGGCTCATTCTGAACGGTATCGAAAAAAAAAAAAAATGATTATTTTATGAGACTGAAGCTAGGAACAAACCGCGCGGCAGTCCGTTAAAGATTCGATATTGTTATTCGGCAAAATCTTTGGTTGGGTGGACTTTAATATCATGAAAGTTTAGAAATAAATAAAAATTTATTATATTTACTGAACAAAATGGATTAATAATTCAATTTAAAACAAGATAATCTTAAAGAAAGACGGAGATAAAAAACACATTTACAATTCGATTATAAATATAATTTTTATACCAAATATTCATTAGGTACTTGTTAATTGATTAAACAAAAAATTATGGCTAAGCCATGATTCAAATATATTTCTTAAATCTTGGTAAAGTCAGGTTTTTTGTTGTCAAACGACTATGAGAACAAATAGACCGAGAAAACGAGATAACAAACCTGAAATTATATCCAAATCGCTTTATAAATAGAAGGAATATAATTTTCGAGAAGCACTTGTAAAAGAAATTCCGCACGCCCATGGTATCTAATTCCTAGAAAAAGCGTTCGTTGTTATCGATCGGTTTTTCAACGGTGGTATGATGTCTTTTTTGAGTTGTTCGATACACTCAGTTGTATTACAATAGTTATTTGGCAAATTAGATGTGTTAATAAAATTTCCATTTGGGATTTAAAAATCGGTTGTTTAATTGTTTTGAGGAAAATTATTCAATTGTTTCTTACACACTTTTCAAATATAATTTTCTTATAATTCGAATAGTAATAGTTTTTCTTTACAAATATTTTATTGAAGGGGGGGGGTCAACTTCACCGACCTTCAATTTTATATGAAATATAATTTTAATTTGGAACAATTAGTATATGTTTTTTTTTCGATATCGTCCAGAATGACGTTGGTGAATCATTAATATCATGTAAAGGGTTTTTATATTTAAAGTGTATTAAAAATAAATCAGTACGTCTAGCACCTTCAAACGAAAAATATATCGGAAGTGCGGCGCGTGTATTTTTTTTATAGTTCGGTTTATTTATTATTAATAACATTGTTATACAATGTATTTAGTGTGTGATGTGTTTGCCAATGGTACCGGATAGATACATTAGGTGAGTATTACTAATTATTTATTTTCACTTAAATCCAAAGAGAGTGAAATTTTGTCCAAAGGAAATCCCCTTTTTTAAAAACCATGTTTGGTAGACTTCTATAATATATACCTCATAATCGAATTAAATTACGGGTTTTGAGCTTACATTAAATTGTAATTAGGGGTCCATAACACTTTAGTGTCACAAAATATATATAATTAAAAAAAAAATAAAACCATTTTCAATATCGTAGAGACTAATTCTTTACAAAAAAGTGCGGATTTTGTCAAAATATAACAATTTTTTTTCTAACCTTAATTTTTTTGTTTCGAAACGTGAGTAGGGTTGTTCTTGTCATTACTTTCGTAATAAATCTATTACTTTTTTTAGTTTAAATGTTACGTTTTTCTAAACTCTATTACTATTCGTTCAAGAAAAATGCCGTAAATTCATTAATATGTGCACATGCGCCAAAATGTTAAGGAATGACATTTAGTACCTTTTACTGAAATCTATTACCTTTTACTGAAATGTATTACGTTTCAATGCGCTTGTCTATTACGATTTTTTTTGGCGCACAAGAACAACGCTGAACATGAGTGAAATCCTCTTCCCGGCCAACTGACACAGATCAAAGAATATGCATTCTTGCTTCTCAGCTTAATATCGCTACTTCTACTAAATAAAATTAAGTACCTATTGATTTTTTTAATAAACACAACATAAAACTTTGAAATATAAATTAAAATACATATTTTTCTGAAATATGTTCACAAATATTGGTAAAAGTATCTTTTGTATTGCCACCATATATTTCGTACCACATGAAATGGTCTATATGCTCTGGCAAGAGCCTTGAAGCCATTACATTATTTCTTCTGCAAAATCCCTTAAGTCGAGACCAGTAACCTTCAACATAATTTGTGCATACTCCTGTCTGTGGGTCAACAAAATTAGCAGAATGATTCACCGATTTATGTGTATAAGGAGACACGCCATCATAATTATTTAAACAATCATAGGCACGCCACTTATCAGTCCAAATTTCTGTTCCAGGTAGTACATGTTCTATAATTTTTTCTAAAATTATTTTTCTCGACCGACCTCTTAAATAAATCACAACACCTCTTTTTGTTGTAGTATCTACCATTCCCAACACCCAAACTTGTGGTACAATCCTACCTACATTAAATTTTCTTCTGGTGATTACACTTTCGTCAATTTGAACAACATGATTAATACCACCTAGTAGAAATAGTTGTGGTACATTCAAAAGTTTCCAAGATGCAACATCTCGAATAAAGCGATACATTTGACACACTGTTGTAAGTCTTCTATTCAATAATCGAAATGCTACTCTTGGTGGCACGAGACAGGCCCAGAAATATATTAATACCATAATGTTCCTTATTGGAACATGCATATTTTCAAAAAAATATCCCTTTAAAATACTATATCGCTTACGACAAATTCGACAATAAAAAGTATGACTCAAATTTCCATCGTTTCTTTTAATTAGCTTACAAAAGCGTCTACAAGATCGAGTAGAACACCGTAGGCTCTCACGTATCAGGCGATATTCTTGAAGTTTTCGTAAGACACTCAAATCACTTTGATTTCGTCCAAAATCATTAAAAATATCTTCGA